TTTGGAGAGTGAACCAGCGGATGGAACATCTGTCTGCTTCCCTCCCTCCCTGTTTCCCTTGTTCGTTCTTTCTTTCTTTCTTTCTTTCTTTCTTTCTTTCTTTCTTTCTTTCTTTCTTTTTTTGACAGGCAGAGTTAGAGAGGTCTGCCTTCTGTTGGTTCACCCCCCAAATGGCCGCTACTGCTGGCGCGCTGAGCCAATCCGAAGCCAGGAGCTAGGAGCTTCCTCCTGGTCTCCCATGGGGTGCAGGGCCCAAGCACCTGGGCCATCCTCCACTGCACTCCCTGGCCACAGCAGAGAGCTGGCCTGGAAGAGGGGCAACCGGGACAGCAGGACTAGAACCCGGTGTGCCAGCGCTGTTAGGTGGAGGATTAGCTTAGTGAGCCGTGGTGCCGGCCGCTGCCTTTCAAATCAGTGAATCTTTAAAATAAACAAAAGCAAACAAAGCAAAGAACTATCTGCAGCATCTAGTCCAAAGAATTTATTCTTAAGGTATTAAAAGTGCTTCAAAAACTGTAAGAAGGAATACCATAATGCCCCCCCCCCCAAAACCACCAAAATCCTATTAACCAACAGACAGATGGGACAACTCACCACCACAAGTCAGAGGTATAGATAAAGCCAAATGATTAAACACTTATTCCAAAGATTTTCATTAAGAATGTGAGACTGTTACAATGTAATAATGGCCTGATGTAAAGTTGTCTCTGAATTCTAAAATTTTTAAAAAAGTTTTATTTATTTTTTTTGAAAGTCAGTTTCAGAGAGAAAAGAGAAAGGGAGAGAGAGAGAGAGAGAGAGAGATCTTCCGTCTGCTGCTTCACTCCTCAGACAGCTGCAACAGCCAGGGCTGGGCTGGGCTGAAGCCAGGAGCCAGGAGCTTCTTCCAGGTCTCCCACGTGGGTGCAGGGGCCCAAGGGCTTGGACCATCTTCCGCTGCTTTCCCAGGCCATAGCAGAGAGCTGGATTGGAAGTGGACTCGAACCAGTGCCCATGTGGGATGCCCGCATTGCAGGGGACAGCTTTACCCACTATGGCACAATGCTGGCCCCTAAAATATGTTTTAAGAAATGTCACCCATAAATGTGGTTAATCTAGGGTGATATCTTTAGAGATACTAGACTTTATTGTGAAAAAAATTTAATTAGCACTTTCACATAAATAAGCATTGCTTAAATTCTTACTTTTTTCCCAAAACTAAGAATGGCAAAGTGAAATGGACTTATCCAGTCGACTTCTCATAGGTAGTATAAACTTTGGCCTAACTTTTTCAAGAATAACAACAACAAAATATTCCAAAGCAAATGGATGGGTTGCCACTGACGTGTTTGGAAACTTCCATTGGTTCGTGTGCTGGCTGAAGCTGGGTGTGGCCAGAAAAGGTGTTCAAGTGACCATGAGGGTCCATCGCCCCAGAACTGACCCTCCTGGCCAGCCTGTGAGCGTTGACCCATGACGTAGGCTCATCTTTAGGCCTCTGTGTGTGTGTGTGTGTGTGCATGAGTGCGCTTCTCTGTATGTGTCTACACACACACACACACACACACACATACACGTCTTCAGACACAGGAGCGTGACGTCATGCTTCACATTTCTCAAGTTAAATAAAAAGGATGTCAGACACTGGCTGCAAAACTCAGCCTCTGGCCTAACAGCAATTCTCCACCCGGCCAACCTTGGGCCAAGATGGGAAGCGGGGGTAATTGTGTTAGAGATCAGCTTTCCCAGGGAGCAGAAAGAATGCAGGGGCTGGGAGACAAAGCCCTGCGTCTGAATGCTGCTGTCATTCATAAAAACGCCCTTTGTCCATTCAGAGCCGGTGTAGTGCTGGGCTGGGGGCCTGGGCCCGCAAAGATGGAGACAGAAATTTTATCAGGTCAGCTTTCAGTGAGCTGAGCGTTCCGTGAAAGAACCCAGACCAACTGCACTCAGTACCTGATTTTTTTTTTTTCCCATCAAGGGTTGTTGAAGTGGAGATTCCATGTAATAAGTGGTTTTGCAGAGCAGCCCCAAACACACTTAAAGGTGGATGCTTTCATCACCAAGTTCAAATGAGGGGAAGGAAAGGGACTGGGCAGTTGGTTTTTTAACAGGGACGACGAGGGAGCTTCCAGAAGTTCATGGAAAGATGGAATTCAAGGGTCCGTTTATTTTGATGCGAATCATTGTGAAATCTTCCAAAAGTTCATAGAGAATGTATGTTATAAGAAAACTATGTATGGATTTTAACAGTTTTTACTCAAAATCTTTTTAAGAAGACTTTTTTTTTTTTGAAAGGGAGTAACAGAGAGAGAGAGTCCATCCGCTGTTCACTTCCCAAATGCCTGCAACAGCTGGGGCTGGGCCGACTGGAGCCAGGAGCCAGGAGCTCCCTCCAGGTCTCTCTTGTGGGTGGCGGAGACCCAGCCTCTTGGGCTGTCACCTTGGCCTCCCCCGGTGCACATTAGCAGAAATCTGGCTCCAGCATGGGACGCAGGCACCCCAAGGTGTCTTGTCTGCTGTACCAAACACCCACCCCTCCACGAGCTTTTTCAAGTACCCTGGTACTTGCCAGGCAAAAATAGATGTTTCCCTTGAGCTCCACAATTAAATTAAACAGCTGCCCAGAACAGAGTCCTCGTTCTTTGTGGGAGCCAGTCAGAACTTCAGTCCCCACCCCCACAGGTGGCCAGGAGGGGAGGCAAACCTGTATTTGCATGCACCCCTTTTCTCCCAGATAAAAAAATCAATGCATGTGCCTAAGCAGCGCCTCCACAGCCTTCGCTCGGCAGCTGGATTCGGGTTTGAGATGGAAAGAGGCGGCGCACACACAGAACAAACAAACAGCCTCTTGGGGCTTCCTCCCTCTGGGCATCAGCGAAGACATTATGATCAAATATTTAGTAACCGGGCCTTTGGATGCGCTGTCTCAGCAGGCAGGAAGTGAGGGGTTTTAAGGCGAGGGCGGGCCCTCCTTGGAGCACTGCCTGGGTGCGAGCAAACAGCTGCTTGTTGGCTTTCCGGGCAGCCCCTCCCTCCGGGCAGCCCCTCCCTCCTGTTCCTGGCGTGCCGTGACTTGCTTACTTTGCAGCTGTAGTTAGTCACGGAATTTCCAGAGCCCCCGGAGTGTGGGGAGGAAGCCATGGCCAGTGAGTCAGATTTCTGACTCGTGGAGAGGGTTATTGGGTGTTAGGAGACGGTGCTTGGACGCAGCCGTGACGAGTTCGGATCATTGCGACAGAGGCTGGGGAGGGCACGGGCGCTGTCCCCTCTCTCCCTGCCCTAGTTCATTGTTGCTCTAACAGAATACGTGTGGCTGCATAATTGATAAAGAGGAGAGGTTTATCTGGCCCTGGGATGGGGAGGTGGGGACATCCGCGGGGCGAGGGCCCTCTTGCTGCATCGTGGTGGTGGATGGAGGGCGACCCAGGGAGAGCAGAGCTGGTGCACACACGTGGGTCTCTTCCTCTTCCTATGAGGCCACGAATGCCAGCAAGGGGGCCCCGCCCTCGGGACCTCATCTGGCCCTTATCATCTCCCAGAGATGTGTATCATCCACCCGTGAGTATGTGGATTCGAATTCCAGCACACGAAATCTACAGGACACTTCCAGACCTCACGCTCCCTGGTGGTGGGACTTGGCGTGCTCCCCCAGTCCAGCAATCCCATGCTCCACTGGGAGCCACCCAGTCATTCATCCAGATGTGAATACAGGCAAGCCAGGGGCAGCGAGGTGCCTTAATAGAGCCCCCCCTTTTCTTTAAGATCTTATTTATTTGAGAAGTAGAGTCACAGACAGAGAGAGAGGTCTTCCATCACTGGTTCACTCCCCAAATGGCCACAATGGCCAGAACTGAACTGATCTGAAGCCAGGAGCCAGGAGCTTCTTCCGGGTCTCCCATATGGGTGCAGGGCTCAAGGACCTGGGCCATCTTCCAGTGCTTTCCCAGGCCATAGCAGAGAGCTGGATTGGAAGAGGAGCAGCCGGTACACGAACCAGCGCCCGTATGGAATGCTGGTGCCGCAGGCAGAGACGTAGCGCACTACGCCACAGCGCCGGCCTCTTCCTAGAGCTCTTGATGCACTGGGTGTTCTCTTGTCTCAGTACCTGTAAGTACCTGGCTGCCCCTCTGTAGACAACGACTCTCGCTGTAGAAGAAGAGGTTCCCTACCCATGAGGTCTGGGGTCAGAACAACGATTCCAACCATGCCAGTGGACAGTGGTCCCAGAATCGGATGGAGAGAAGGCTGGATTTTAGTAAGACGGGGCTGGGCGTTTGGTGGAGCAGTGAAGGTGCTGTTTGGGACTCTGCCTTCCGTACGGGAGGCCAAGGTTGAGTCATGGTTCTGTTTCTCCAGTCTGGCTTTCTCCTTATGTGTACTCTGGGAGGGAGGCAGCAGGTGTCCCTGCCTCCCATGTAGGAGACTCTGATGGAGCTCTTGGCTCCTGGCTTTGACCTGCCTCAGCCCTGGCTATTGCAAATCTTTGGAGAGTGAACCAGAGGATGGGGGATCTCTCTCTCTCTCTCTGTATTTCAAACAAATTAAATAAATATATAAATCCAAAGTAATAGATGGAGACTCACTTTGGGACTCTGACTCAGTAGGTTTGCAGGGAGCCTGGAAATTGGTTTGTTGGGAAATCTTTCCAGGTGACTGTTACGTAGTGCCCAGGCCCACATGATACTCCGCTGCAGGAAATCCTTGCATGAGATAGCACCAGAAAAATAGAAGAATCTGGTTCTTTATTGAAAAGGATGTGCACTCCCCGCCCCACCCTGCCTCATACCGGGGGACCCCAGGGAGGGACAGGCTACCTCTGCTTTCTGTGTCTCCATCTTCCTTGGCTTTGTGGTGGATTCAACCAGGCCAATGCCAGAGGGGCCTGGAGGAGGATGGTTTGATTCGTGGCCCAAAATAAAACAGAACAAAGACAAAAGCCCTTGAACTGATGGTAGCTGGCCGCTTAGGTCTGCGCCACACAGTTTTCCAAAAGTCCTTACTCCGTCTTTCTTCTCTAGCCGTCACGTCCCTGCCGGAAGACGAGGTTGTGACTCCGGGTGTGGACGGTGGCACGGGACTCACAGGGGTAGAAGATAATGTGGTGACCAGAGGCGCCAGGGAAGATCACTCAGAGCCTCACGGTGTCACAGCTCTGGTGAGTGTCCCGGGAAGAGAGGAATTTGCCCCACAGGCACAGACCACGCACAAGGGTATTGTGTGAACGAACAATGTGCGTTCGTGTGTGGAATCAGCATGAGCCACCACTCGAAGGCGTAAGTGCGAGGCTCGCAACAAGAACTACTTCCCGGTGTCATCCAGTTCGCAGGTCGCTAGCGTGCTGGTCTCAGGTGATTTGAGAGCCTAGGCCGGGGCCTCTCAGACTGGTGAGGAATGAGGTTCTTCCAATGAGTTAAAAGTCATTTTTCAATACAGTAAAAGTCTCCTTGGATGTTGCAGCGATGTCGTTGCTGTAAAAGTTTCTAACCACGTGTTCTGAGTGTCTTTACAATGTATTTATTTGAGTTTATTTGAAAGGCAGAGTCACAGGAGAGACAGAAGCAGATCTTCCATCTGCTGATTCTCTCCCCCAAACCGCTGCCAAGGTCTGGGCTGCACCAGGTCAAAGCCAGCCGCGAGGAGCTCCAGCTGGGTCTCCCACGTGGGTGGCAGGGGCCCAGGTACTCAGACCTTCTCCTGCTGTTTTCCCAGGCCCATTAGCAGAGTAGCCAGGACGGAAACCGGCACTGCCTTATGAGATGCCAGCAGTGCCAGTGGTGGCTGAACACCTGTGCCCCAGGGCCAGCATGCGGGGTTCTCCATTTCTTATCTCCCTGTAGACCAGTAGCCAACATGGAGTAAACTGATCCCCAGGCCACATGGGTGTCCACTGTGCAGATTCTCACTGGACGTACTCCTAGCCCAATGAACGGTAGCTAACGCCTACGTCTTTAACTTGTATCACTGGGATTCCCAGGGCTTGGAACTTGCTGCCAGCAAGGCACACACTCCTCAGCACGTCTTTAACATTGCAATAAACAGGAAACGTGAAATTTCCCATCTTCAGGAAAAGATGCTGGTTGAGGTCTTGCATCCCACCAGCGGGGCCTGGGCTCTGATGCAGCTTCCTGCTGCTGCGGATGCTGGGAGGCCTTGGTCACGGCTCCGGGACTTGGGCTCCTGCCACCCAGGAGTGAGACGCCTGGAGTGGGTTCCAGGCTCCCAGCTTGGGCCCCTGGCGGTTGTGGGAATCTGTGGAGTGAACCAGTGGCTAGGAGCTCTCTCTTTGTGTCTGTTTCTCTCTCTTTCTGCCTCTTAAATGATTTTTTTAAATTACCACCTGAGCCATTTTTAAGGATGTAGTCAGTAGTGTTAAGTATATCCCCTTTTTCGTCTTGCAGAATGGAAACTTCCCACCTACTGAGCACTGACACCCCAATCCTCCCAGCCCCAAGCACCCACCATTCTGCTTCACTATGAATTTGACTACTCTGGGTACCCTAGACGTGGGATCATACGCAGTTTTTATACTTCTTCTTTTTTTTTTTTTTTTGACAGGCAGAGTGGACAGTGTGAGAGAGAGACAGAGAGAAAGGTCTTCCTTTGCCGTTGGTTCACCCTCCAATGGCCACTGCGGCCGGCGCACCGCGCTGATCCGAAGCCAGGAGCCAGGTGCTTCTCCTGGTCTCCCATGGGGTTCAGGGCCCAAGCACTTGGGCCATCCTCCACTGCACTCCTGGGCCACAGCAGAGAGCTGGATTGGAAGTGGAGCAGCTGGGACTTGAACCAGCACCCATATAAGATGCCAGCACTGCAGGCGGTGACTTTACCCTCTACGCCACAGCAATGGCCCCGGTTTTATTCCTGTCTCCACCCTTGTTTCTTTTTGTTTGTTTCCTTGTTTCCACTTTCAATTTCTCCATTAAATACTTGACATATTTATGCCACTGTAAACACTTTCCTGTTATAAGGCAGGGTGTATATATATATATATTAAGATTTTATTTACTTATTTGAGAGGTAGAGTTATACACAGAGAGAGAGAGAGAGAGAGAGAGAGAGAGAAAGGTCTTCCATCCACTGATTTACTCCCTAAATGGCTGCAACGGCTGGAGCTGGGCTGATCCGAAGCCAGGAGCTTCCTCCAGGTCTCCCGGGTGGGTGTGGGGGCCAAGCACTTGGGTCATCTTCTAGTGCCTTCCCAGGCCATAGCAGAGAGCTGGATCAGAAGAGGAGTCAGGGCACGAACTGGCACCCGTATGGGATGCCGGTGCTGCAGGCAGAGGCATAGCCCACTATGCCGCAGCACTGGCCTCTAGGGTATGTATTTAACACATCAGGCTTGGCTTTCTATTTTGCCTCATTTGCATCTCCCTTAGGTGCCAACAAATGCAGAGAGTGTTACAAGCCATCACTTCGAGGATCACTCATTCCTGCACAGCACAGTCCCTGCCCATAAAGAGAGCCAGAAACCAACGACCCCAAATGCGGCTACGAGTCGGTCCATGGGTAAGAAACCATTTGTGTCAATAGGGGCTGATTGACTCATGCATAATTGGTGCATTCCAGAAGCTGATGAATAGATGTGATATCATCAACAGAGAACTCTGGAGCGCCGAGAGGGAGTTCTGATGGAGCAGATTCAGAATTAAATTTATTGGGCTGCTGAACATTTCTCTCCACCTTGAGAGAGAACCAGTGATAATGCTCCTATAAGGGCAAGTGAAGTAGCTACTGATTTGCATTGTTGACCCTAAGCTGGTGTAGTGCTGCTCTAAGAACTTGGTGTTGACAACCAAGGTTGCGAAACTCAGTCAACCTATGTACATCTTTTTTTTTTTTTAATATTTATTTATTTGAGAGCTGGGGTTACAGAAAGAGGGACAGAGAGAAAAGTCTTCCATCCGCTGGTTCACTCCCCAAATCAGATGCCCACAACGGCCAGAACTGGGCTGATACAAAGCCAGGAGCCAAGAGCTTCTTCTGGGTCTCCCACACAGATGCAGGGGCCCAGGCACTTGGGCCACTATCTACTGTTTTCCCAGGCCATAGCAGAGAGTTGGATTGGAAGAGGGGCAGCCAGGACTCGAACCTGCGCCCATATGGGATGCTGGTGCTGCAGGCAGAGGCTTAGCCCACGACACCACAGCACTAGCCCCGTACCTATGTAAATCTTAACAGATTCTAGGCTAATAGTTACCATCTTCCATTGGATTCATGTCCATACACATGGAACAAGGGTCTGCTCTGAGCCAGTCTTGCCAGGATTTGGGGTTGTACCTGGGATTCTCAGTTGGCACCTGCTGTGTGTGAACGGAACACCTGGAAGGCAAGCGCGGGAGGAGACCTTTGTGTCTTTGCCATCACTGTGGTGTTTAAACCATCACGGATGAGAATGAGGAGCAGTCCTGAGAGTTGCCAGGGGCAGGGGAGGGAAGATTGAGGGGTTTGTGTTGAATAGGCACAGAGTGGAAATTTGGTAAGCCTCAAGCGGTTCTGTAGACGGATGCTGGTAATGAACTGTATGCTGAAAATGGTTAATTTAGCAAATTTCATATTCGCTGTGCATCACCACGATCTTTTGAAAGTTTCATTAAGTGCTTTGAAGTAAACCCGAGCGCTTGCTGCAAGCGGTTAAAGGAAAGATTAACATTTGGACATCAGAGAGAGCCAATGGGGTAATGCAAGAAAGACGAATCAGCGGAAGTGGCCGTTGGAGAGCTTTTCAACATTTTTAAGAATCGCTCCTTTGAATGGGGTTGACAACTAATCAGCAGCAGAAATGAGAAGTTCCGTGTTGAGACCATTTCTGTCGTGATAGACGCCTCTCTTCCAGCAAAAGGAAATTCTTGCTTGCCTGGGACATCCTCTTTTCTGCCTTCCTTCTCCTGCCCCACCCTGTCAGAAACAGCGCCACCCTGAGGCGCATCCGCGTTACTTCTCATAATCTCACGATGATTTCATGCGTGAGTTAAAGTCAGTTACAAGCAGTCAGTGTTTTCAGAGGGCATTTGATTGGGGCAGCAGATGGCTGCTTTTCCCTTGGCACGCCCAGGGTTGTTCACACGTATGACCCATGTTCACGGTCACGGTCAGCGTAATTGGGAGTGAGCTGTAGAGGACAGAACCGAGAAGCTCGGAATTCCTACCAAAGTTTCCCCAACTCACTCTATTTTTGGTCATCTGTTTCTTATGCAATGGTGTCTCTGGTGAAGACAGTGCTGTGCTGTGTGTCTGACGCTGGCAGCCCCCGTGTTAGGACATGGTCAGCACGCGACTGGCCCATCCCTGCCAGTAGCTGACTTCCAAGGATGACATTTTGGGCGTTGACTCGATGATGCCTTCGTCTGGGAGGGCTCCGCGCCTGCAGTCTCCCAGCTGTTTTCCAGGATGGGATAGCACGGGCAGCGTGAGGCTCCCGAGCCAGTGAGGGTCTGGGACCGTGAGCTCAACTCACGCAGGAAGAGCTGTGACCTGGGGCCCCACCCAAGGCCCTCTTGAGAAGGCGCCTGTTTACAGGAGAGTCTCGGCACAAAGATTGTTTCAAACCCAACCTCCAGGAAAATCAAGCATCTTTTAGATGATACTTGGGCTAATTTTACCTTTGGTTAGAAAAATGTTTGAACATACGGGATATTTTGTAAACCGCGAGCCAAGATTTTAGGGAAATCTTGACTGATTATTCTTTCTCTCTAATTTCTCATGAGATCAAAGCATTTTGACTTTTTCCCCATCTGCAAACTAGGAAAACAACCACCTTTCATTGGAGTTAAGAACTCAGTTATAAAGAGATTGTTGGGAAAAACAAAACAAAATGCCTTTGGGTTTTGTTGTTGTTGTTGTTGTTTAAAGATTTATTTGAAAGGCAGAGTCACAGAGAGAGGGAGAGATAAAGAGAGATCTTCCATCCACTGGTTCACTCCCCAAATGGTACCAGTGGCTAGAGGTGGGCTAATCCAAAGCCAGGAGCCAAGAGCTTCCTCTGGGTCTCCCACTTGGGTGCAGGCGCCCAAGGACTTGGACCATCTTTTGCTGCTTTCCCAGCCACATCAGCAGGAAGCTGGATTGGAAGTGGAGCAGCCGAGACTTGAACCAGTGTCCTTATGAGATGGTGATACAGATGGCAGCTTTACCTGCTACACCACAGGACCGGCCCCAACACCTTTATTTTAAAACAGGAATTATGTAAACTTTCCCAAAAGAACCTCGTAATGGAGAATATTCACATTGTAGCTACTGGACTAGGTTTGACCATGACAGAGACCCTAGAACAAGAGTGATATAAATAGGGGCTGGCGCTGTGGCGTAGCGGGAAAAGCCTGCAGTGCTGGCATCCCATATGGGCACCAGTTCAAGTCCCGGCTGCTCCACTTCTGATCCAGCTCTCTGCTATGGCCTGGGAAAGCAGTAGAAGATGGCCCAAGTCCTTGGGCCCCTGCACCTGCATGGGAGACCTGAAAGAAGCTCCTGGATCCTGGCTTTGGATTGGCTCAGCTCTAGCCATTGTGGCCATCTGGGGAGTGAACCAGCTGATGGAAGACCTCTCACTCTCTCTCTCTCTCTCTGCCCCTGCCTCTCTGTAACCCTGCATTTCAAACAAATAAACAAATCTTCAAAAAAAAAGTTTTATAAGTGAAAATGCCATATTCTTCCATTCAGTTTTCTGGGCGGATTGCTGCTCTCTGACATTGGATTTTGCTACCAAACAGGAATCAGGGAACAGAAACCGAGAGGTGCATCACAGTCCTGGTCCCCTTTCCCCAAACTGAAGCATTGTTCTCAGTGAGCAGAGGCCTTCATCATGGTCTCTGACTTTTCCATGATTTTTTAAAAAAGATTTATTTATTTATTTGAAAGTCAGAGATAGAAGGAGAGGCCTTCCATCCACTGGTTCACTCCCCAGTTGGTTGCCATGACTGGAGCTGCACTGATCCAGAGCTGGGATCCAGGAGCTTCTTCCGGGTCTCCCACACAGGTGCAGGGACCCAAGCACTTGGGCCATCTTCTGCTGCTTTCCCAGGCCACAGCAGAGAGCTGGATCAGAAGAAGAGCAGCTGGGACTTGAACCGGCGCCCGTATTGGATGCCAGCACTGCAGGTGGTGGCTTTACCTGCTATGCCACGCCGGCTCCTCCAAGATCTTGGCGTTGGGCTAGGAGCCCACAGCTCAGAATTCCCTTGCTGCCTTAACCGCTGAAACATTTGAATCATTCGTTTAGGACATCTGTGTTTTCTTGGCTCTGCTTTCTAACTTGGGTGAGGAAAAGTACATAATAATACAGAAGTGCTGTGGACCCATAGTGGGGAAGAAGCCCTCATAAATGTGATAATAGTAGCTATAAAGTCAGTTTCATGTCAGAGCCTGCTTATGAATTCCTTCCAGTTTATTTAGGAAATTATCTTTTTTCGCTTGTGTTTAGTCACTTTCCACTTAGGGTAAATTCATCTTTTGCCAGTTGTTAAATTATAGTTATTAAATCCTAATAATTCCATATCATTACATCTCTCTCTTTACAGAGAAAGCGGGTGAAGAGCCAGACACAACCATTGAGAAAGGTGGGTTAGAGTTTGCTGTCAAAATATTCTTATGGGAGTTGAAAAATGTTTTTCTTTGATCTTGGCGGTGAATTCCACTCTTTCCTAGATTGTAGTCAGCGAGAGCAGAATAGAAATCTCCCGAGAATACATTTCGGGGAATTCCCTGTGTTGGAAAATAAATAAACCACAAACGAATATATTCCCTTAATGACAGATGTGGAGAATGGCCTCCTATCACAACTTATTGTCATTGAGGATGAATTTAGAAGCCAATTGAATAGCGGTATACGAACATTACCCAATAATTAACCGTGAAGCTGGTGCGAGTGTTATGCTTGATAGATCTGAGACCCCGAAATCTTTCCATTCAGGAGGTGGGATTTATCCAGTCCAGGATTTCTCTTCTTGTAAGTCAGCTTCCGCTGGATACAGGCAGAACAACTTGGAAGGCTGTTGTGTACAGTGGGGCAGTGGCATTGTTTAGGTGTCTCGTTTTATTGCAGGTGCATTTTTAATCTGGGACTCATGCTTTTTTGTCCCTTTTCCTTCAGGTGGTTTGGCGACAGTGACGCTGGTTGGAATCATAGTTGGGGTCTTACTAGCCATCGGCTTCGTGGGTGGGATCGTCATCGTCGTTGTGCGGAAAATGTCGGGAAGGTACTCGTAAGTAAATAACTTACGCCCACGTGACAGGTCCCCGAAGGCCATTGCGTCTGGAGCACAGACCCTTGGACCTCTCTGTAAAGGTCACGTTCAAGAGCCTCCTAGCTCTGCAAGTGGGGCATCAGAAGTTTCCCCAGAACAGATGTTGGCTTAGACCTTGTAAGGTTCCAAAACAGAGTCAGAGCCAGAGATGGCTCATAAGTTGACTTCTGTTGAGATCTGACCAAATATAATCTTAATTTTCCAACTAACTGAACTTGAAAGAAAACCCAAACCAAGTTTTAACTTGAACCTAATCGCCCTGCCTCCAGCCATCACAGCTGCGTGGTTATTGGCAAAGCACCTGTCATGGAGCCAAGACCCCGTTCTCAGGAAGAATCCCGCGGGGCATGGGACCTTCCTCACCCGAATCTCTCCTTACACATGGTTCTGTTCACCTGGCATTGCCTTCAGATGAGGGCAAGGAATTCTCTCTCCTTATTGAACATCTTTAAGGATTCAGATATTCAAGTTCATGGTCGGAGGGCAGCCTTCCTGGTTTCTACTGAGGAGATGATACATCTGACAGCCGATGCACAGGTTGGGGGTGGGGCGGGGTTGATGATCTGTCATGTTCAGAAATGCCCGGGGCTCTGATTCTGGCTGGATGAGGACTGAACGTGGAGGAGGAATGAGAGGAGAGGGGCACAGGGCCCCAGGATGGGAAGATGCGGAGAAATGGACAATAGGAACCGTGACTCATGGGGCCAGCGAGAGACGTGAGCAGCTGTCGCCTGTTGCTTTGTTTTCACAGGCCCTGAAGAGCTGAAAGGCCGTGCCCTCCTGACAACCTGCTGAAAACAGAGTTCCTGACGCCCCCCGTCCCCGAGCTCGCGGGAGAAGATGAGCCGCAGAAAACTCCACGGCGACCCCTCTGCCTGCCAGAAACGACCGAAGAAAGGAAAAGTCGCACACGACTCGGCTCCCTCCTCTAAGCATTTGCCTTTTGAAATTTTTTTAAACGTAATTAAAAAAAAAAAAAAGTTGATAGAAAAGACAACATGCATAGGAAACGGAGCAAAACTATGTGAACTACTGAGTGCTGAGGCCATGTCCCCCAGTCCGTGTTAGAGGCTGTCATCGCGTCTGCGCTCTGCTGTTGTGAAATGCGGAGGAATGGTCCCATGTTCATACCAGGAGGGTGCTCGGGCCGGTGCTGCTGAGCTGGTGGAGTGCGCTCGCTCCAGGCTGCACGGGTCTGGTTTTGATTTTTTTTTTTTTTAAAGCCTGATTGAGTGTGTGAATAATCAAGTAGAAAATCTAAACTTGGATGCTGTGAGCAACGGTCCAGATGATTTATCAGAGGCATCCATTTCCGACCGTAAACAGGAAGTCCGCACTCTGGGGGAGAAGGCGCGTGGGTTCTCAGAGCAAGGCCACCAGGCGGCCTCCGGGCCAGCGTTGACTTGATCAGATGAGCTCCTGTCTGTGCCCCGGCTTCCCTCGGGCGGTGGGGAGCGGAGTGAAGGCAGCAGCCTCCTCTCTTGCCATGGTGCTCGTCCTGCGGATGGGCTGTCTGGCTCTGGAATATGGAGACCTCGGCCCCATGGGGTCGGAGGCTCCCGTGTCCCAGAAACCAAGAGTCGTGTTGGCCACCAAGCAAAAAGAGATCCTGTGTGTGCCTCTGGCGTGGAAATAGAAGCCGCCGGCTTGTTAGCATTTTCTGTCTGCCCCCAGGGAAAGAGAAGGCGAGAAAGACATAATCGTATGCCATAGGAAGGTACTGCAAAAAGGTTTTAGAAAAATGGAATTAAAAGATAAGTGTAGTGCAAAAAAAAATTTTGAGATTCATGAGTGGTATTTGGATAATATGCATTTTCCAGGAAATGTATGAAGGCCTTGCCTGTCAATTTAAATAAAAAACGTCCGGGTTCGACACCTGGACGTCAGCCGATAGAGAGAAGGCGTCTTGGAAGAGCTTCACATTTCCATCACCTGCCGTCTGCTCATTCCGATTCCTGAACAGGAGTGAGGAATACTGCCCATTTCTCCCTCCCTATCCCACCCCCACCCCCCGGCCACGGTGGACAACAGCAGCCCGCCCTGAGTCACACACTGGACTCTGGGTTTCTTGGTCACATCTGTGTTGGTGTGCAATGCAGTGTAGACATGTTTTCAAATAAAACAGATGCTTGTGTAAAGAATGAGTCAGACCTTTGATTGGAGGTCTCTCCGGCGTCTGGGGCACACTTGAGAGCGTCTCGGGGTGAGATTATAACTTGTGTAAACACACGTCTGCTGACCTGCCCGAGTGCGAGTTAGAAGCGACCACAGGGGCTTCACCCGCGAAAAGGCAGGCAGCCGCACCCCCCAGCCGGCCGCGGGGCTGAAGGTCAAGCAGAACAGGTGGGGAGACCAGCGGTGCCTGCAAGGTTGTGCTGGGCTCTGGGCTTCTCATGACTGAGGAGGGGAGCCAGGCGAGGTGGGTGGGCACCTGCCAGTCTTGCACCTGCCAGTCCTCCTGCTTGAGGCTTGGCTACCCAAGACCAGAAGGAAATAACCCCTGGGAGGTTGGCTCCAAGTGCCTCAGGGCCTGGGGGGCAGCCTGTGGCCTAGAATTCCTTTGTGGGAGGCCCCCTGCCCTGCCCAGCCCCACCTCACTGCTGCAGGGGGCTCCCATTGTTTGCCCAGTTCCCCTCCCTGCCATCCCTGTCCCCACCAAGAAAGGTCGGGCACTAGGAGCAGATAAGCAGTTAGCAGTGTGCCTTCCTCAACATAAGTACATGTGGGGTATTCCTTATCCAAAATGCTTGGGACCCCAGAAATGTTTCCAGCTTTTTTTCCCTCCCCTTCCCTCCCCTCCCCTCCCCTCTCTCTTCCCCTCCCCTCTCCTCCTCCCTCCTCCCTCCTTCTCCCTCCTCCTCCCTCCCCCTACCTCCTCCCTCCCCCTCCCCTCTCCTCCTCCCTCCTCCCTCCTTCTCCCTCCTCCTCCCTCCCCCTCCCTCCTCCCTCCCCCTCCCTCCTCCCTCCTCCCTCCTCCCTCCTCCCTCCTCCCTCCTCTCTCCTCCCTCCTCCCTCCTCTCTCCTCTCCCTCTTTAATATTTACATAGACTTTACTGGTTGAGTTCTGGTCCAAAAATCTGAAGTCCAAATGCTCCAAAATCAAACTGTGCTAACATGATACATTTCAGAGTTCAGGTGCTTTTCTTTCTTTTCTTTCCTTTTTTTTTTTTTTTTTTTTAATGTATTTGAAAGGCAGAGTGTGATGCAGAGAGGTAGAGAGAGGTCTTCCACCTGCTGGTTTACTCCCCAAATGGCCACCACAGTCAGGGCTGGGCTAGGCTGAAGCCAGGAGCCAGAAACTCCATCCAGATCTCTCACGTATAGAGCAGGGGCCCAAGCACTTGAGCCACTGCGTCCCAGGCATCTTAGCAGGAAGCTGGATCAGGAGGGGAGCAGCCGGGACGTGAACAGGCACTCCAGTGGGGGACGCTGGCATCCCAAGGGGCAGTTTAACTTGCTGCCCCAGATACCTGCCAGGATTTCAGGTTGATTCGAGATGTCTCACCTGTGCCCGTGCAGACGCGGAGCCTGCTGAATCGCCAGCAGTCAGGACCGTTTCACCAGCTGCGAGGGCGACGCCCTGGTCCCTTTGGGCTCCTGGGCCCCGGTAACTCAGGTGAGTCATTTCCCTTCTTGGGGCTCCGGCTTCTCCCTAAGAACCCCCGTGAGACAGTTCAGAGAGCATCCTGTGGAAAACAAGCCGCGTCTGCCCAGACGTAAAGAGGTGTGTCAAGTCCAAGTTCATGTTCCACTCCGCCCCTCCCCCGGAGATGATTAGAAACCACCAGAGCTGCCGAGGGTACCAGGACTAGGGGAGCTGTCTCCAGCCACGTCTCCATCAGGAACAGCCAGGCCCTGGGCAGTGCTGGAGTCATTCGCCCTGACTTAACGCCTTGCTTTTTTTTGTATATATATACAGAAGATCAATTTTTATATATATATATATATATATATACAGAAGATCAATTTAGCATACATTAAGTAAAGATTTCAACAGTTTGCACCCACACAGAAACACAAAGTGTAAAATACTATTTGAGTACTAGTTATAGCATTAATTAAACACCTAAGAGTAATTGTGTATTAATTACAGAGTTCAACCAATAGTTTCAAGTAGAACATAAAAAATACTAAAAGGGTAAAGTATTAAGTTCTTTTTTTTATTTTTCTTTTTTTTTGTTTGTTATATAGTTTTTTTTTATTTAATAAATGTGAATTTACAAAGCGCAACTTTTGTATTGTTGTGGCTCCCCCCCCCAACCTCCCTCCCTCCCGTGGGCCTCCCCTCTCCCACTCCCTCTCCCATCCCGCCCTTCATCGAGTTTCATTTTCAATCACCTTCATATACTGAAGATCAACTTAGTATATACTAAACAAGGATTTCAACAGGCTGCACTCACACAACCGCACAAGGTATAGGGTATTGTTCGACTAGTAGTGTTGTTTTTAAGTTTCATAGTAGAACATATTAAGGACAGAGATCCTACGTGGGGAGCATGTACCCAGTGACTCCCGTTGTTGATTTAACAGTTGAAAGCCTTGCTTTTAAAGCTTGTTTTTCCCCTCTCAACCTGAGAGGACCATTCTGAACCAGGGCTTAGCCCTGCCTCCTGCGCCACCGTCAGGAGTTGCTTTGGAACACTTAATCCCTCCCGCCCCGTTTTGGCTTTAGTTCCTGTATATTCTGTATTCAGGGCTTGTGGCTGCAGGGTTCTGAGTCCAGCTTTCCCCATTGCAGGTGAGAGAGAGGGAAGAATTTCCCCCAAATAAGAGCACGCAGGCGTGGACAAGGGCCCTCTGGTGCCAGGCGTTGGAGGCCTGCTGCCTGAGACTCTGCCTCTCTCTGCTCTTTCTAAAGCTTCGACTCCACTGGAAATCAGGGTAGATCCTCGGGTTTTCAACTGAATAAAAAGAAAGGCTGCGATTGTGGGTGTCGGTGCAGAATCAATTTAAGGTTTTTTTTTTTTTTTTAAGATGTATTTATTTACTTGAGAGGCAGAGTTACAGACAGGGTGAGAGAGAGAGAGAGAGAGAGAGAGAGAGAGAGAGAGATGTCTTCCATCTGCTCATTCACTCCCCAAATGGCTGCAATGGCCGAGGCTGGGCCAATTCAAAGCCAGGAGCCAGGAGCTTCTTCCGGGTCTCCCACAGGGTGCAGCGGCCCAAGCACCTGGGCCATCTTCCACTGCTTTCCCAGGGGCATTAGCAGAGAACTGGATCTGATGAGGAGCAGGCAGGACTAGAACCAACGCCCATATGGAATGCCGGCGCCGCAGGCAGATGCTTAACCCCTAAGCGCCGGCCCCTAAGATCCAGAAGAATAACGACCGCCCTGCTGCTGTGACGAGTGTGAGCTTTGGGGCCCTGGGCCCAGCTCACGTGTGACACCTGCCTTGGGCAGAGGAGCAGCTCGGAGCCACCCAAGGTTACTCCTGAGCATTTCCGTGCCCTCTGGGGCTGTCGGATCCGACCCGGATACCGAGCACCGGGAGTCCTCCATCTGCACCCGGGGCTCCGTGCTACAGTCAGTCCTGCACGTGACCTGAGAACGTGTCCCTCTTTGTCCCCTCCTGACTTCCTTCCCATCATTGCCTCCGACTTCCCCCAGATGCGAAGCTTTGAAGAAAGAACCTCATGCCTGTCACCCGGGGGCTTACGAGCAGATGTCTCTGAGTGGTGCTCCCCCTCGGGATGCGACTGAAATGACGAAAGAGGTCGTCTGAAATACGCGATGGGATAGCCACAGACCCTCTGAGCGTCCAGTGTTGGCTGTAGCTGGCTTTTGCCTTCCCCCACCCCCACTCCATCATGGAGCACCTGTACTGGGGCTGTGGATGACACAGATCTAACCGGGGGGGATATGGTATGGACGTGTGTCCAGCCAGATCCAGAAACACAAGACACTGTTTGGGGTGGACGAGGCAATTGAGACCTCTGAATATCTGGTGGGACAGGGGTCATCTGTTTGCATTTGTTCATTCATTCAACAAACATCTATTGCTGGGCCTGTCCTAGGTGCTGGGGACACAACGATGGAGGGAACCTGCCCGGGGTGGGGCTTACATCCTGCAGTGGGAGACTGTGCAGGACGAGTGAAGTCAATAGGGACTGTCTGGGAAATTAGAGACTGCTGGAGGCAAAGGACACAGCAGACAGAGGACGGAAGTGCAAGGTTAGAGGAGCTGGAGCTTGAACCTGGTGGTTGGAGACGGCCAGTTTAAAGACCAGGCAAGAGATAATGGAGGCTCAGAGCAGAATAACAGCAGTGGACGTGGCATGCGGTGGTGTGGACGTGGCACGTGGTGGTGTGGATGCAGCACGTGGCGGTGTGGATGTGGCATGTGGTGGCGCGGACATGGCACGTGATGGCATGGACGTGGCACGTGGTGGCATGGACGTGGCACGTGGCGCGTGGCAGTGTGGATATGGCATGTGGTGGCGTGGACATGGCATGTGATGGCGTGAACATGGCATGTGGTGGTGTGGACATGGCACATGGAGGTGCGGGACGTGGCACGTGGTGGCGCGGATGTGGCACGTGATGGTGTGGACGTGGCACGTGGTGGCACGGACGTGGCATGTGGTGGTGTGGTTCTGGATATTCCAAATGAGGTCAACAGAAGCATTTGGTGGATGGATGTAGGATGTGAGATGAACAGACACCAAGATGACTGAGCACCTGGGAGAAGGCAGTGGCCATCGTGCACAGGGGAAGGCTGTGGGCGATGCCGTCCTGAGAGGGAAGTGCAGGATCCCTGTGTTGATGGCGCAGGGTTTGAGATGTCTACCGACACCCAGGTGAAGGTGTGGAGCGGGCAGCTGGGCAGCTGCGTCTGGATCACATTAGAGATCTGCCTGGAGGGGGAGGGGGTAGTCACTCCCTAACCACCATGATGGCTCGCCACGGGCACAGACAGAAATAGAAAAAGCCAAGCTCTGAGCTCCGGTGCACCTCACAGCCAAGAGATCAGGGAGTTACAGACGTCACCAAAGGAGCTTCCACCATGTTCCGGATGAACTCCATCTCAGGGTTAACACTATCTTCTGTTCAGTCTGACAGCTGCCCAGTGGCTTAGTACTGGGAAGGCCGTGTCCTCAGCAGCAAGCACAAATATTCCCAGCTCTGAAAAAGGATGCCAGT